GTGAATTTCGTGAATAGTGAAATTCGATCGGCGATACGAGTTTGTCAACGGAGGTGTTCTAATACATGGCGGTTCGCAAAAATTGTCAGAAACGATCCAAACGAAGCCAGATTCGAGTGGGAGCGATGGCTGCAGACGAAGGGAAAGTGAAAATTGAAAAGTTCGATGGTGCGGACTTTGGATTTTGGAAGATGCAAATTGAAGATTTTCTATACCAGAAAAATCTATATCAACCCCTCTTAAGAAAACAACCAGAGGGCATGAAGAATGAAGACTGGGCTCTTCTCGACAGACAAGCCCTCGGAGTTATCCGACTGACGTTATCCCGCAATGTTGCTTTCAACATAGCAAAGGAAAAGACCACGGCGGGTCTTATGTCGGCTCTCTCCAGTATGTATGAGAAGCCATCGGCCTCAAACAAAATTCATTTGATGAGGAGATTATTCAATTTGCGGATGACGGAAGGGGCATCGGTGGCACAACACCTAAATGAACTCAACACAATCACAACTCAGTTGAGTTCAGTGAAAATTGAATTCGATGATGAAGTTCGAGCTTTAATTCTCTTATTATCTCTACCAGACAGTTGGAATGCTATTGTTACAGCAGTTAGCAGCTCGTCGGGAAATAGTAAATTGAAATTCGACGATGTTCGGGATCTAGTACTGAGCGAAGAAATTCGACGGAGAGAATTGGGTGAAGCATCAACCTCCTCAGCTTTGCACACGGAGTCCAGAGGGAGAACTTCAGAAAGAAATTCAAATCATGGCAGATCGAAATCCAGACGGGGAAAATCCACTACGGGAAAGAAATATTTTACCTGTTATAATTGTGGCAAGAAGGCTCACTTTAAAAGAGATTGTCGAGCACTGAAGAAAAATACCGGCGCACAGGAATCTGCCAACGTGACAGAGGAGACAGGTGATGCCATGATTCTAAGCGTCAACAGTCTGATTGAATCATGGATCTTAGATTCAGGGGCATCTTTCCACTCCACCCCATGCCGAGAAATCATGAGAAATTATGTCAGTTGTGATTTTGGGAATGTTCATCTAGCTGATGATGAAACCTTAAAGATCGTCGGAAAATGAGACATCCGACTAAAGTTGCCAAACCAAACCACCTGGACGCTGAAAGGAGTGAGACATATTCCTGGCCTCAAAAGAAATTTGATTTCTGTAGGACAGCTTGATGGTGAAGGATTTAGCACAACCTTTTCAGGCTGTGAATGGAAGATTACCAAAGGAGCACTTGTCATTGCTCGTGGTAAGAAAACTGGTACTCTCTATATAACATCACATTTAGAGAATATCATTGCAGTAGCAGATGCTGATGGAAAATCAAACCTATGGCACCAAAGGCTTGGCCATATGAGCGAGAAAGGGATGAAGACACTTTTGTCAAAGGGGAAGCTGTCGGATCTAAAGAATGTAGATGTCGGGCTATGCGAGGATTGCATCTTTGACAAATAAAAGAAAGTCAGCTTTGTAAAGATTGGTAAGACACCCAAGGCTGAAAAGTTAGAGTTGGTTCATACTGATGTATGGGGACCATCTCCAGTTCCATCTCTTGCAGGCTCACTATATTATGTCACCTTCATCGATGATTCTACAAGGAAGGTGTGTGTTTATTTTCTGAAGAAAAAATCAAAAGTCTTTGATACCTTCAGAAAATGGAAGGCCATGGTGGAAAATGAGAATGGTATGAAAGTCAAGCGGTTGAGGTCTGACAATGGAGGAGAGTACAGAAATAGGAGATTCAGAGATTTTTGCGCAAACAATGGGATCAAGATGGAGACAACAGTTCCCATGACACCGCAACAGAATGGCGTAGCAGAGCGCATGAACAGAACTCTGAATGAACGTGCCAGAAGCATGAGGATACATGCCGGATTGCCCAAATTTCTATGGGCTGAAGCTATTAACACTGCAGCTTACATGATCAACCGTGGGCCCTCAGTTCCTTTGGATGGCAGAATACCAGAGGAAGTTTGGAGCAAGAAATAAATAAACCTTTCACACTTAAGAGTGTTTGGTTGTATTTCTTATGTACACATAGACTCTGCTGAAAGAAGTAAACTTGATGCTATGTCCAACAAATATGCCTTTGTTGGTTACGGCGGTGATGAGTTCGGTTACCGGTTTTGGGACTATGAAAATTGGAAGATCATTAGAAGCAGAGATGTCATTTTCAATGAGAATGTGATGTACAAAGACAGGTCAACTGTAGAATCAAGCAGCTCCAATACCAAAGCTGAAACAAAGGAATTTGCTGAGTTTGAGGAGATTTCTGGAAATGATGTTCAGATCAGTCCTGAAGCAGTTCAAGAAGAACCAGGCACACCGGAACTAAGACGCTCCTCCAGAATTCCTAAACCAACCCAACAGTATTCTCCTTCTTTGCACTACTTGTTGCTGACTGACAATGGTGAACCAGAGTGCTATGATGAAGCAATGCAAGTGGAGGATTCAGTCAAGTGGGAGTCTTCCATGAAAGATGAGATGGACTCGCTTTTGTCAAATCAGACGTGGGAATTAGCTGAATTACCACCAGGCAAGAAAGCGCTTCACAACAAGTGGATTTACAGGATCAAAGAAGAGCACGATGGGAGAAAACGCTACAAAGTGAGATTGGTTGTCAAAGGTTTTCAGCAAAAAAAAAAGGTATTGACTACAATGAAATTTTCTCTCCAGTCGTGAAACTGTCTACAATCAGACTGGTGTTGAAAATTGTAGCTGCAGAGAATTTACATCTTGAGCAGTTAGATGTAAAGACAGCTTTCCTTCATGGTGATTTGGAGGAAGAAATCTATATGAGGCAGTCAGAAGGCTTCATAGAGGCAGACAAGAAAAACCTGGTATGCAGGTTGAAGAAGAGTTTGTATGGTCTAAAACAAGCTCCTAGATAGTGGTACAAGAAGTTCGATAGTTTCATGAGTAGCAGTGGTTTTACCAGATGCCAAGCAGATCATTGTTACTACATCAAGAGGTTCGACAATAGCTTCATTATTTTATTGTTATACGTTGATGACATGCTCGTTGCAGGCTCAGACATGCAAGAGATTATAAACTTGAAGCAAAAATTGTTAAAGCAGTTTGCTATGAAGGATCTGGGTGCTGCAAAGCATATTCTTGGGATGAGGATAAAGAGAGACACAAAGTCAGGGACTTTGATATTATCACAGGCTGAGTACATCAACAAAGTACTCTTCAGGTTCAACATGCAAGATGTTAAACCAGTAAGTACACCTTTAGGTGTTCATTTTAGACTCTCCAAAGAACAGTCACCAAAAACGGAGGAAGAACGTGCACACATGGTGAATGTGTCGTATGCCTCAGCAATTGGAAGTCTGATGTATGCCATGGTTTGTACCAGACCAGATATTGCTCATGCAGTGGGAGCTGTTAGCAGGTACATGAATAATCCAAGCAAGGTACACTGGGAAGCTGTCAAATGGATCCTCAGATATCTGCGGGGTACTACAAACAAAGCACTTTGTTTTAAAGGTGGAGATACGATATTGACAGGCTATGTAGATGCTGAGTTAGCCGGAAATGTTGACATCAGAAAGAGCACTACAGGGTATGTTTATACTCTAGGAGGTACTGCAGTGAGTTGGGTTTCTCAACTACAGAAGATAGTTGCTCTCTCCACAACTGAAACAGAATATGTCGCTGTTACGGAAGCCAGCAAGGAGATAGTTTGGCTCAAAAATTTCTTGGAAGAGTTAGGCAAGAAACAAGAGAACAATGACTTGTATTGCGACAGTCAAAGTGCTATACATCTAGCAAAGAATCCGTCTTTTCATTCCAGGACAAAGCACATACAATTGCGATATCATTTTATCCGGTCTCTTCTGGAAGATGAGATTTTGAAACTTAAAAAGATCTGTGGAGCTCAAAATCCGGCAGATATGTTGATAAAGACGGTGACTATAGACAAACTGAAGTTGTGCTCAACTTCAGTTGGCATGCTAGAGTAACAAGACTAGAAAAGCTGTTGCATTGATCGAGGTGTGAAGACATATTAAAATCAGTCTTCAAGTGGGAGATTGTTGAAAGTATTAAAATGGTTTTCAAGTTTGGTAACCAACTTTGAAAAAATGGTTTTCAAAGTTTGGTAAATGTTTCTTTGAAAATGGTTTTCAAAGTTTGGTAAATGTTTCTTTGAAAAATAGTTTTTCAAAGTTTGGTAGATGTTTGTTGAAAAATGATAATGGGATAATCACAATTAATCCCTAGGTTTTAGGGTATTTACAAGATTAAGTCCTTAAGTTTCAACTATAAATACCCTAGCTCATTTAGCTTCAAAACCATTCCAAAAATCATTTCTTTCTCCCAATACTAGAGAGCTTTCTTGTGAGTAGTGAGTGTTTTGTAAACACCTGTAAATTTTCTCTCTTAGTAAAATATCTGCAGCAGTCCAGAGACGTAAGCACAATTGGTTGAACTCCGTTATCAATTTCGGGTATTATTTTTCCGCTTTTATTTTGCATTCTCATTCATCTGGTTATAAGAAAATTACTTGTACTTGGTTTATTTCCCAACAAGTATGGACCGTCAGATTTTAGGGTTATGTGACATATCACATGATACACTCTTGGGTGTGCAATAGTGAAATAAGCTCTAGTTTTTTTTTTTTTTAGAGTAGTCGAAGAAGCTCTAGTTGCATCCTTCATCTTCGAGCCAAACTAAGAATTCATAGTCTATTTGGTATATGTCTAGGTTTTAAAACTTCCATGCACAATAGGGACCTCGTAACTTCTTTTAATTTATCTATTATTATATCATAAATAGATACAAGATTTTATGTTAACGAGTAAAGTTCGGTAATATAAATTGCTCACCCGACCTAGTAAAACAAAGAAAGCAAAAGGAACATACTAAAGTAGCTTACCAGACCAGCATGAGACATTCAAACCATCATATTCTAGTTTTCTATTTTTTTTTTTATCTCACAATCAATAAATTTTGCAACTCGAGGTGACACCATACACTCACATAAGATAAACAACAAAATGAAGTAATCAAATGTTCAAAAGAAATAAGAAAAATAAAAAGATCAAACAAATCGGTTAAATGGCTTTCTTCCAACAGTTGCAGGCATTGAAACGGTTGAATCCACACTAAAATTACCCATAGAGTGAAGTGATTGGTTCTTATCTAAACCCCTTTGAGTGCTTGGATGATCCTTGCCGGAAAACGAAGACCCTCTGCTCCACTTGAATGATCCTATCCCTTGAGTCAAAGATGACGAAAGCCTCCTCTTCGACGCCTCGCTTCCCGGTGTCCCCACGAACACACCGTTCGTGTTGCTGTTGCCTCTTGCTTTGGCTTTGGCTGAAACTGTGGGTGTCATGTAATTTGGAACTGAAAACGGAGGGCAGCTAGTAAGGCTGTCATCGTCCTTCAAGGGCAAGTCAAATTGTGAATCCACTCCACTAGCTCTTGGTCTTGAATATTTCGACAATGCTGAACTGCTTTCTTGTAGGATTCTACTAGGAGTTTGCATAGGTCCTGTAGTCGGAAGCATGGTCGACCTCGTAGATTTAGGTGTAGGTGTGTCCATATTGTCGAACATAAACTGATGTTGCTTGCTGCTCGATGGCAGTTTTGGACTAGGCTTCAATTCGGAATTTGGCCTTGTTGGTGTAAGTTTGAAATCCTTCATGCTTTGACCTTCAGGAGCATTTCTAGAAGATAGCTGACGCTCTAACCAGTTCCACCACCATGGTCCGCGAGTGCGAATGTCTGATACGCCTGCGTAAACTGATTTCATAGTAGTTTTCCATAACTGTATGCAGAAAGGTTTTAAATCAATGGTAGTTAGGCTTATTACAAGTCAAACCAAATGAAATTGGGATAGTAAAAATACCAGGTGGGAATGTGCATAGGCCATGGCTCTTTCTCTCTTGATGACTGCCTCTACCTTTCTCTGCATTCTTGCCTCGATTTCTTCTTTCGTTAGCAGACTATCGTCCCAGTCTTCATTTCCTGCCTCACACTGATCCGATGTTCGACTAAGTTACTCATTTTCAAAAAGAACATAAAGAGTACATATGATGAAACAAGCATGGATATATGATCTCCAAGTTTCACCAAGTTCCATAAGATCTTGTGAAACCAGAAAGAAGACCATCTGCAGTAAAAAATAAAGGCAATGAAAACTTACCGCCTGGCCAAAGGTCAATTTACCCAAGGCACTCTCCACTTCTTTATCGTTCTTAAATCGAGCCTGTTGTCGTGCTTGGTTTTCTAACATCTCGATCCGACGAGACTGAATCTGAGACTGAACTCGCACCAAAAGCTGCATATGCTTCATTGCAGTTGTAGTTTGTCGTTTCACAGTCTGACCTCTTACAACTCCTTGAAGCCTCACAAGGCCTTTCCAAGCTCGAAAACTTCTCCTTGCCTGTATTATAAGTTCTGGTAATCAAACGTTGATGCAAAACATAACAACGCAAAGTTCTCTACTGTGTGCACAACACGAAATCGCCAATAACACGAAGCAATGTGATTAGCTTTTTGCTCAAGGAAACTTCAGCCATTACAAATGCCGTTTGAAAGTTGTTCATAATAACCTTTCTGCCTAAAAGGCCTTTAAGGGGAATTGTGTTCATTTACAGCATATGAATATCAGCTAAGATACGAAATATTTAACATATTAATTCTAATGTATTGTTAATCAGTTCAATAGCCAAATATTTTTTATGAAACAGTTGCCTCCATGAAATTTTTGCACTTAACAAGAAAGTGAATTTTTTTACCATGTAACCTCTATAGGCTGCTTGAATTTTTGTAGCAGAAGCATGGTGGTTCCTTAAAGTTGGTTCTGGTCGAGGACGGATGACCTTGGGTGGAGATGCTTCAGGAGAGGCAACGCGTGGAAGTGACGGTGGAGAAGGAGCACGTGGAGGGGAAGCAATCCTTGGAGAGGCAATCCTCTGAGAAGGACCATGCGGAGAAGAAGAAGCTTTATGAGCCACAAAAGGCGGTGCCGGAGGATGCTCTGGAGGCGTCGGAGGCCTGAATACTATCTTATGCTCTCTTTCAGCCTCCCCAAGAATTTTTTCAATACTGCTGGGCTCTCTGAAGAGGGGAGTAAAGGAATCGGTTTCTCCACGCCTTAATTTTCTGAGGCCTTTCTTCTTCTTTTCTTTACCACTTCTTTTGTCCGATTCCTGGAAGGATTTAACCATAGAAACAAACAGAAGCCATCATCTCAGTTACATTTACGTATAGAGAATCCATACTTTACAAGCCAAATTCGCCATCTAAACCGTGCTTAAGAGAGGTGAAGAGAACAAAACTCAAAATGCTGCTTGGGATGATCAAAACCATAAATTTATATTAGTGAAGTCCACTATGCACCAGAGTTAAAAATATGAACTTACATTACTTGGATTTTCCTTGGAGCGTGGTATGAAAACCCTTTTAATTGCAGAAAACCAACTTCCTTTCTTTCCCATACTGCCAGCATTACTTTGTTGGTCTGGCCATGCGAAGAAACAGAATAACCAAAAAACCAGCTGGTCCAGTCGTGTAAGGGCTAAATTGCCGGTCTAATCTGCTGTCATAAAACAATGCATAAGATTTGATGTAATCACTATGTTGTACAGATAGCAATTACCATGAAAAACAATGCATTAATCAAAGAATATGTATAGCAAAGAAGGTTTTTGCAGATTCCAAGACTCGAATTTTCAACCATGATATCCGATTAAACCGCCTGATATGCCTTATGACATGGAAAATTTCAGGCTTTTCATGATCCCAGAGTTCTTAATAAAGAACAGATATCAAGACTTGGGAACTTTTGTGAGAACACAGTAATAAGTAAATTAGATTGATGATTAACAAGGAGGTCATAGGCCTGAAGCAAAGGTCATGCACCACCAGGAATGAATCAAACAAACAGCAAAACTAATACAACTTTGAATGAACAGATGACACAAAGATGAAACAGGGGAATCTCGGTATCGTGATTCGGTTCCGGAATCAGTTAAACGGATAACGGCCTCCAGATTCTCACTGCATATAACTAAATGACGGTTTAACACATAAATGTGTTTCTTAATTAAAAGGTTCCCAGATATGTTCAAAACCAGCATTCAATCCAAATATACAAACCCTTGCAGACATATACAAACAAAAATAAAAAGACAAAACAAAATTGAAAGATAGTTTTGTCACTTTTCATAAAATTAAAATAATAGTATGGAAATCCTAGACAATCAGCGTAAAACTTATTTTATTTTCTGAAATTCCCAGAAGAACCAAAATAAAGAACACCACAAATACTCAAAATGCTAGAGGTTTTTTATTTTCTGAAATTCCTCTCTGCTGTTTAAAGGTTAAAACACAACAACTCTCCAAGAAAACAACAGCTAACACTCATATAAAAGAGATCCAAAGACAGGAAAAATTCAATACTAAAAAACTACCACCTTAAAGAAAAACTCACTTTTTGAAAATTATAGTCATCTATTCCTTCCCCAATAACATAATTAACACAAATCCAAGAGCAAAAGATCATTTGATCATGAACAACAAAATTGAAAGAAACCCAAAACTTCATATAAACAAAAATGCTACAAAAATTGTACCTTCAGTGAAGAGCTCCAAAATTCCATATTCTGCAAAGAACCCTTTTTTTCTGTCTCTAGACTCCGTCTTGTATCCTCTACAACATAGTTGTTTATATTATCATTTCTTATTCTTCGTAGCCTTTTTTTAATCAAACACAAGGATCCGGGAGTTTATATTTTGTTTCCTTCAACTTACTACTGTAATGTTTATTAACTTAGGAAACACAAATTCTTCAACCTCTTTTTCTTTCTCCTTTTGTAAGGTATGAAAGTGTCCAACTTTTTTCATTTTCTTTGGCCACATTTCACCTTTTTGTTGGATTTTATAATTGGAAGTGCATATGTTTTAAAAAAAGAAATCATCATCAAAGGGTTGCAGGAGAGTAGAAGAAGAAAGGGGCTGGCCACATTTTCACTCAATGTGCCAAACTTCAACTACCTTTACTTGAATGGGAAGACTAGATTTGTATTTGGGCAGCAACCATGGCCACTCGCTGTTTTAAACGGTTACGTTTGGTGCGCTTTCGTCTTCCCTCAACTATTAATATTGTGGAGTATTTATCAAAACTTAGGATAAACTATCTAAATTATTAGTTTTATTTCGTTTTAATACCTAAATTCTCATTTGTTTCGACACCATACTTGATGTTTATTTTTTTTTATTTCATTTGAGTATTCTAATGTTGAAAACTTAACGGAGTTGTTGCAACATTTTTATGTGTAACTTATATTATTAATCACTTAATTATCTTTTCACTCTTATTTTGGTCGCTAAAGTTTAAATTTTTTTTAATTTAAGTGCTCAACTACTAAATTGCTTATGTTTTAATCACTCTAATTTATTTTATTAATAATTTTTTTGACATTATATATTTTTTTATTAATATATAATTAAAATAACAAGATAAATTTGAAAGTTAGAATGATTAAATTTTGAGTAATTTGAAACAAAGTAATTAAATTAAAAATATTAAACTTTAGTAACCAAAACAAGAGTGAGAAGATAGTTGTGTCATGAATGATGTAATTTACTCATAAAAAATGTAATGTTGTAACAGTTCCGCTAAAAGTTTAAGAACGATGTATCAAAACGAAATATAAAGTAAATATTAGGTATGATTTTAAAACAAATGAAAATTTAAAGGCTAAAATGAAATAAAATTGATAATTTAAATACTAAACAAGTAGTTTATCCAAAAATTTATTAGGAATGTGGAGATTTTGCCTGAGCTTCAAGGCCATGGCAACCATGAATGGATAGAAAATGTTGCCTGAGCTTTAGGGCCTTGGAAAATGGTCAAATGATGAATTGGTCCCGACACCATTAGCTCAGCTTCGAACCAATAATAAATACGAAATATTTTTCAAGATAAATACATATATATTAAAAACAGAAATTTTTCGTTTATGATCAAATAAATAAAATTTATAAACTAATATCATTGAAGAATAAACAATTAACATAAAAAAATGTAAATGAGCACCGACTTACCTGATGAACACTCGCCTCCCCCACTGCTTTGAGCTCTGGACAATGATAGTATGATAATTTGGTATTATTCTAAAGTTATAATTTATAGCTGTAATTTTTTTATCGATTAAACACTCAAATATTTTATTTTTTCTAGTAATTATGTCTTCAAATTTAAAAGAATTAATTCTTTTACCCATAAAAATCCTCATTAACCACTACAATAAAATTAAAAATATATAAAGTATTAATTTTTTTTTGAAACTTTTGTAAAAAAAAAATCTTTAATTTAAAAAAAATTTGATTGTCTTTTGACAACTTGTCTATTAAAATTTTCTGAACATATTTTTAATAAAATCAATCTTATTTTATCTATAGATAAATATTGAGGTTAAAAATAAGGAGATATAATTTATTATAATGTGAAAATCATGAGTCTTACTATAGATTTCAAATTTTAAATTCTCAAATGTAATCGATATAATTAAATGACACTAGTGGGATGAAGCACTAGGTCCTTAAAAAGGGTTAGTGGTTCGAATTTTGATATTTACGAATGGAGCAAACAGGGTTAGGAGGGTTGCCTTCGCCTCTGCAGCATCCGATCTGGATTAGTCGGTCAATAGACCGGATACCAGTGATTAATTAAAAAAAATAAAATGTGAAATTCAAAATAAAACGCATAAATACTACATTACTTTGGTGTAAACTCTAGCTCATCATTTAAAAAAATTCTCAAAAGTAGTTATTACTATAATGTAATGTCAATTCCGTAGAAAATATGTTCAGTTGATAAAAAAGTGCAATAAAAGAGCCTTTGAAGGTCACATATAATTACTTTCTAGGTTTTTTGTTCTCCGGCATGGATGGTACCTTGAGCCGGCTGGACTCTCTGAATCGCCCCCTGTTACCGACAGGTTTCACCGCTTGCGCCTTTGGATCAACAGGTTGCTCCACGAGGGGGTAGTGGTGGTTTTGTGCAACCTGCTCCTGCGATTCCTGCTGCCCCCATGGAAGAAGATTTAGCACTGCAAGACTCGACAAGCCAAGTGAATCCTCAATCGAATAAGCAACCTAAATCGTATGCTGAAACGGTTTTAGGATCTTCTGGAACGATACAACCGGCTTTCCCTGGTTTTGGTGATAATGATGTTATTATTTAGGAGGGAGATGCTACTGTGGATCGTAGTGGTTCTTATCCGATCATTTATTTCTCGGGTCGCGTGCATGAATCGATTGTCCAGAATATGAAACAGACCGTGGTTGTTCGATTTCTTGGGAAAGCCATCGGCTATAGAGCTTTAATGAACAAAATCAATCAACTATGGCAACCCCAAGGCCAATTTCAAATGGTTGATCTTGATAATGATTATTTTCTAATCCGGTTCGCTAATGCATATGATTTCAACAAGGTTTTATCTGAGGGACCGTGGATGGTTTTCGGTAGTTATCTCACCGTACAACCGTGAAGTCGGAACTTCTCAACTACTGAGACCCACCCATCTCAGGTTATTGTTTGGGTGCGTTTACCGGGACTTCCTTACAGGTATTACACCAAATCCATGTTTTGGTTATTAGCTGCTGAACTCGGTAGAGTGATCAAAATTGATTATAATATGAACATGGGTGAACGTGGTAAGTTTGCTCGCCTAGCAATTGTTGTTGATCTGAGAAAGCCTTTATTACCTTGTATTGGAATTGACGGGTTTATTCGGAAGATAGAATACAAAGGACTTCAGAATATATGCTTCCACTGAGGGGTATATGGCCACACTCAGGGTTTCTGTTCTTCTAAGGGAGATGCTGATTTGCGTGATCATAGTGTCGATGTGTAGGGCCTGCTGCGGAAGGGGGACGTTCTGTGTCCCCGACATATGCTTATACGGGATGATAGCTACAAATCGGCGTAGAAAGCCACGCGATAAGCAGGCCAAGGTGTCGGAGGTTAATATGGTGAATGATACTCACCAAGGTCGAGTAAGCTCTTCCCGATATGATGTATTGGAGAACCTTGACCCTGATAATTTGGCGAATGATCCCACTCAAGGTACCATCTCCGAGGAGGCACCCTCACGATCCCAACAGACTTTGGCAAAATTAAAAGGTAAATCAGCTTTAGTGAGGCAGGCCTAGTTCTCCTGCTCGATTTAGTTCCTCTAAAACCCGTGATTGTCCTGATGGTGAAGCGGGCTTGTCTGAAGCGTCGAAAACTCGAAGTAATAAGAAAGTGGTTAAGGTGGAGTGGGTATTAAATGAAACAAAATTTAAACATTAGATATGTTTTTATAAAAAATTGGAAGTTCAAATACTAAAGCATACCAAAAATAAAACTTTAGCTACTAAATACGTAGTTTACCCTAAATAATAACCGTGAATATCTGATTGCAGCCGTTGGATAAGTGAATATTATGATTGATCTGCAAAATATATGTATAAACGTAGACATGTCAAATTTGATCTGAATTCAATTATCTAAACTAATTTACCTTATTTAAGATTTGATATGGATTTGGATCAGGGCGGATGTACATGGCTCTATAAGAGAGTCATTGCACACCCATTATTTTAAAAAAAATGTTAAATTCAATTTAGTTTACTAATGGGAATAGGGGAAAAATTTGTTCACCCAAATTTTTTTAGAATCTAGTATTAAAATTTTGAATCCATTTTTCACTTTCTAGATCTGTCATTGATTTGGATATGATGATCCGAATCCAAAAGAAAAAAAATAGAAAAAAGAGATGTTTGTGTAACGACGGAGTGAAGTTTTTCAGAGTCCTGGTGGGCTTGAAGCAGTTTTGATCGGCGTTAATGGCAGCCGTCAAAATACAGGGGGAGGTGGAGTGGAGAGAGAAGCAAGCAAAGGTTTAGCATGTTAAAGAAAGAGGCAAATTGAAAATCTGTCCCTTAATTATTTTAGGTTTAACAAAAATCATAATTAATATTTTATTTAAAGTTTAAAATTAAATTCTTTTATTAACACATCAGTCATCGAACTAATGTATCCAACGTTCCAGTAATAAAAATATAATAAAATGATAATATTAGTGACCAAAATTTAAATTTTTAAATTTGATGAGTAAAGTATAAAAATATAAAAAATGACTATTCTTATAGATTACCCAAAAATCAACTACTAGAATCCATATTTTTTTATATCAATAACTAGAATTAACTGCATTACACGTGATTCAATGATCCACAAACTCCTAAAAATCAACTAGTTAGTTAATAATATTGAAATGGCTAAAAAAAAACATGATAAATAGCACTATAGCGGCATAGTTGCTTTGACTTTTTACTATACCCTTTGTAAATACTTGTCAAAGCATATAAAAAATCACAATACTTGTGTATGTTAAAAGATAAATTTTAAGTAGACGGAAATAAATTATTAATAAAAAATATAAATTATATGAAAATGCAAAATTTACAAGAGATAAAATTTAAAATTTTTGAGAGAGAATTGTTTTCACATATCCAGTGAGTCCATTGCTGAGGATACCAGCAATGTTCAGCTAAGAAGACCAAAAAATATTTGACTTAAAAGCAAGATCCAAATTTGAATTGAAATTTCCAACATTTAAAGGTACACAATCAAAAGTACAAACAAAATAGACAATTGAAAAAAAAAGGATAAAATATGGGTAAATTTTTTTTTAAAAGGTTAAAAATTCTCATCTTCATCAGCTTTTACCATTCTACTAAGAGGACTAGGGCCAAGCATCTTCCTTCTCATCAAACTTCTCTTCCTTATAACTTCCATTTGATTCCTCCTCCTAACTTGCATCATTGCTTCTTCTTCCACAACAAACCTCCTCATCAAAACATCGTCCGTCAACGATTTTCCGCGGAAAACTCTTCTTCCTTCCGTGCTAAGTCTCACGCTAGGCATTGCTCTTTCTTGCGCTAGGGGAAACGGTTTGGACCTAGGGTAACTGTTGCTTCTTCTAGGGGGAACATCGGCTCGAAAAACCTCTTTGTAGGAAGAGATTGGTGCACATAGACAAACCCAAGTAACGAAGTGGCAACCCTCAGGGAAGTACATTTACGTAGCTTCTCCGAACTATTGGGATGAGTTGAAGGGATGTCAGCGGGCTTCGGAATCGCTTTCCATAACGTCGCATTCGCCATGGGAATTTCTGTTGGCCTTGAAATGGTTTTCCACAAGGTCCTAGCATTCGTAGTAGGGATTCCTCCGGTCTTCGAAACAGTTTTCCATACGGTAGCCCTCTCTATTGCTCTTTGATACCAAGGCTTCCTGTGGAACAACAAACAAATTCATAGCATGAAATCTTGAACAGTTCTTTTTGCCAATTCATTTTGAAGAACTGTTGAGGATGAAGACCAAAATCCCAAAAAAAAAAAAAAACTTAATAGCAAAACCACGATGATAGTTATATCTGAAACATATCCATGTCTCAACCGAGCTTCATCCCGCACTCGTATCGAATTAATCCGGATATTTGAGCTAACAGTCAAACTATCAACAGTTGCTTAGGGTTCACATGGATCATATGTATGTAGGGGCATAATTAGAACCATAACACATTAAAGTTGTTAACTGAACAAGGCGCAAACTTCAGTGAAACTGCAGACCAAGTTCGAATCTTAACATTTACAATATTCTTATATTTCCAATCTGTAAAACAATTGAACAGGAAACCAAAGATGATGATATTAATAAATAACATCAGCAATGGTCTTTGGGTGATCAATTGCATATTTCAGCTCAGTTCATATATGAGCATGACAAATAAATGTTAGCCCGTGGAGAGGATCGAACTGGGAATTCTGACCCAAGCTAAAGGGCTCGACCAGGGATGCACCAAGGGTGCGATCGCACCCTTTAGAAATTTCTAATTCACCTATAGTTTAGATATTTTTTTCATATTTTCGATCGGTGATGTAATTTTGCACCTCCTAAATTTATGTTATAAATTCTTATGTTAACACCTCTTGACATAAAATTTTGCGTTTGTTATAGCCACTGACTTAGCTTAGCACATTGGATCAAATCAAATAAACATAGAGGACCACTCAATCAAAGCACTTCGTGGACAACTGAGATAAAAAAGAAAAAGCTGCAGAGTCTGCAGATTTTGAACATTTCTTACTCAAAACTGCATGAAAATCAGGGCATTTTAACGAACACCCTTCAATGCAAACTTGTCAGGCTGATTTCCACAAGTTTTTTAAAATCGATTCAACTTTGGGTAGAATTGGCAACAACATTCTATCTATCATCAACATGAACAACAGCAATCAACCACCTGGTAACAACATTTTTTCACTGAAAAAAAAGAAGACAATATGATACTAAAACAAGAAAGAGCTTATGGGAAATTTTTGAAATGATGCGAGCAATGTTGCAGCATTTGGTTTACATGCAGAAGAACAAAAGAGAAGATTTGTTACCTTGTGTGAGAGTTCTTTGGATCTTGCATGAACAAAGCAAGGTGAGGAGTGATGAATGAAAGATGAGAAAACAGGGAAATTTCATGAGTTGAAGGAAGGTGAAAACAAAAATGGAGTCTTTTTGGCCTCCAAGATGAAGGGATATTGAGTCTCAAAGGCTTGGAGGAGTTGGCAATGTGGCCTTCCTTTTCTTTTTATTGTCTCTCTTTCTTTATTGCAACACTCTTTCTTTTTCCTTTGGCAGCCATGATTCCAAGTGAGCTTCTCTTTCTTTTCTGTAGAGAGAGAATCTCAAATATTAAATAAAGGCAAAGTAAGATTGTGAGTACTTTTTTATGCAATTACTCTGCTACCCCTTAAATCATTTTAATACAATGTAAAATCTTAGTGCTTTTCGAGCCTCCCCTCTCATATCAAATGGATTTATTTATATAGAAAATATATAAATGTATTACACAATTATAAATAAAGAAAAATTCACCTACAAATAAAATAAGACAACATTTCATCATCCATCGCAATTTAAAGGATAATTTTACACCCTCTAAATTTCTACCGCTACTTCTAAAGTTATATTATCCAACATAAAAACATACATCCATCTCTAAATATGATTACTTATATGTATAAGTATAATAATCAAATCTTTAATTAGGAATTATTTTTATTATTTATGTGTTTTAATTTATAATATTGACATATTATTGTGCGTTGGTTTATATTAGGGAGGAAAACAATTTTAAAGCAGATCCCAAGTTAACATCAACTTGATGCTATAATCATGTTCTCTCCAAAGGTTTGTATAATTATAGCAAGTGATGTTGTTTGGGGTAATTCATGTCGTTCAACACATGCTTGGCCTTGTCTCCCATTCTTACAGTATCATGCAGGATCATATTTCATTTTAGGTAGTTGGGTTACTTGACATTTAAAGGATGAAAATATAACTTTATTTAAATTTGATTATGAAATTATGATATATTATAAATTGGAATCAATTTATCTCGTCAATCATTGTTAGTTGACTCTTTTTTATTTGGACGGAGAGTATCATCTTATGATTAGTCGATATTTTTGTTTTATGAATTAGAAATATCATATAACATTAACTGAAATTCAAATAACTAAATAATAAATAAAGCATATTATATATATATTTTTGCCAATACAGAAAAACACAAACAATCAGCTAGAAGTCCCCAAGTCCTTGAGCAGCGTTGACGCCAACAGCTGCGGTGGATCCTGGTACTCCACCCCAATCGGCGCACCACGGCCCAAGCAATCGGCAACACGGTTCTGATCCCGACGAATGTGTCGCACTTGCACAGTCCATTCACGCTCCATCACCTCATGAAGAGCTGCCACCAACGAATTCCCACGAAGTGCGTCCGACGAACCTGATAAAACTCTCGATACCTCGAGATTATCCGTTTCCAATTCAATCCGCCGATAACCAAGGTTCCAATTCAATGTATTTTGGAAAGAAAGTGTTTATCTTTATATTAAATAATTGTAAAAACTGGAATAAAGAAAATGTTAGAATGTGGGTGGAGTTATATCACAAACTCCAAAAAGCTGCTGCTCAGAGAGACATTATGATTGGTTGGGGATGCTGGATTAATTTCACATTGCCTCTCTCCTCCTTAAATAATAATTGCTTATAAAAAAGTAACCAACACCTACATTATTTTTAAGCTCAAGGATTTTTTGTGCTCAATAAAAATAAAATATAATGGTCGAAAATATTTGAATAGGAGATATCATATGATATGATCTTTCCATGGACTGACAGAGTCAAAGGATAACAAGTCAGATTTCCAGTCACCTTTTGCTTTCTCTACTATATTTTGTAGACTTTTGCTAACAAAAATCAGTAAACCAAAGGTGGTGAAGTGGCAACACGTTCCATTGCTGACACTCTTCTTCAAAGTGTGAGAATATGGACCCCATCCTTATCAGCATGCACAACTACAGTCTCCTGCTCTTGTTTCTCAGTTTCTGTTTCAATAACTCCATCTTTTGCATCATAATTCTCACAACTTTTGGGACAATGTTATCATAATTGCCCACAATGGGAAAAAAAGAACAAAAAGAAGAAGAAAATCGAACATACTCGTATTACACATATACTCGTATCTGACACTCCCACTCTAATCTAAGTAGCATTGATGATCATAGCCAAAACCTTAGGCTTACATAGTGGCTCCCAAAAAATCGAAGGAGTTCCAGTTACGGTGCCCACCGAGTGCCTCTGTGTTTTGATTTGTTAGCAATATAGTGCCTGCCAAACTTAGTGGACCATCAGAAATGAAGTCATTGGCTATTATCAGGCTCACCTGAAGGTTTCCTGCTCCAACCGACGGGACCGGCTTTCCGTTCCCCTCGGTTTCTTTTGCTCTTAGGGAAAGAAGCTAGACATAATCTCAGAATTGATTGCTCCTGAGACACAGCTTTTTTTGCCGCGTTATTAGGTTCCGATGTTGCGATACGAGAAGGATTGGAGCTCTCTCCTTCTTCTAGTTTCTCGGTTTGATGATGTTGCTTTGTGGATTGACCGTTTGTCGCCGTTAAAGCTTGTTTATCTCCGGCATTTCCTTCATTCTGCATCAGAACATTTTCCACAATCTGCAAATACCATCAGGGATCATTCCGTAACTATATTGAGACTAGTTCATGCATGAGAAGCAAAAAAAGAACATGTCAAACTCAAACAGATAACAGTATTTTCTTGTGCAAAGGAGGTTGAATCCTGCATGTTATTTTTGTAAATATGTACAGAGTTTATTTATTATAAAAGGAGATGTAACCAAAATCTATGAGATATTGAATGAAAAACTGGCACCGAGGACGTAAGCACATTGCTGAACCTCGTTAAAATTCTTGTTTCTTTCTGTTTTCTTTACCCGATTATTAACACTACGGATAGCAGAGGAATTAACCGATGATGGGATACGAGACGTGGACTTGCAAGATTATATTCGTTTTTCAGTATTTAACCTATGCCTCCGGGAATCTTTGCAATGAAAATATAAAAGAATTATCATATATCTCGGGAAATGCAGATCAGTTAAGCTTACTTTCAGTTCAAAGTAAAATCGATGACATTATCTAATCTGGTAAAACATCAGCCAAAAATAAGCATGTAAGTTAAGTATGTTAAGAGGGCTTACGTCTTCGCACGAGTCTACAAGTGGTGGCTGGTGGCAAGTAACTTCAGCAGACGACAATAATCCGACAGTGCTTTCAATTATATCAGGGACATGGAAAGCCTCTCCGTAGCTTGAAATGGCACATGCAGACATAGCCATATCTCCAGCATATTTGCAAATTTGTTGAGTTGAGAAAAATGCAGGTTCGACGGATCTTGTGTCTCCGTTGCCAGCTGAAAATGTAGGGCTAGGAGCAGAGCTGGTTTGAGCATCACAAGCAACAAGAAAGCTTAAATTCTCAGAAGAAGAAAACTTCGAAACATTTTTGGACATCACTTGATCAAGTTGATTCCTGAGTTTCTGAACCTTAGCATGCACAATTTCAATCTTCCTAAGAACTTGCTCCAAGGAATTATTTTCATCTCTGAACTTGAAAAACAATCCATCGTTATTAATGCCGAATTTATCATTGCAATCAGTATGTTGGTCCGTATCAGCTGCACCACAAGCAATGACAAAGAGCACTTCACAATCAACACCAAGAGAAACCGAAATCTACAAAAAACATAGCCTTCAAAATGCTGATTCTACCTTGGGAAATATTTGATTTCCTAGGATCAATAGGACTGGTTTATTGCAGATTGAACAGTTATGAATGAAGTTAAAATATAAGAGATTGATTCAGGGAAAATGATAGTACCTGCGTTGGGAAAATCATTGGCAATATAAGCACCATCTGCAACGGTTTTCCGGTTTTCTGAAATATATTACAAGCAATCCACACTTGAGCATCAGGGTTAAGGCTAGACAAGAAAAACACTTGAACAACAATGATAAAGAATAAAGGAAAAGCTCGTACCAAAATACGAAAATAAGTTGTGACATGACATGTATGAGGCTACATCGGTTGCCTCTTCAATTCTCTTTCTTCTCCTCCGCTTGATGGCCTTTTTACGGTTATATTGACTAGAAAATGGCAATGACTTTGAACCAAAACCTTCCAGTGCAGATTGATCAATTCCAGGAAACTTCCTCTGATTGTATGCTGAAAGTTCTCTGGTGTATTTTCCTGCTTGAGACTCGATTTGTTTGATTCTCAGTTCTGTCCATTTGCAGCGCCACATGAGAGGCCGAATGAAGTTCCTCCAATGGCTTGTCAGCCTCTTCTTCCTGAAGAGCAAGTACGAAATAAGATTACGACGTGTCTGCTTGCTATGCCAAGTCAAAATCGATGCGAATCACATAATGTTACAACGAATATATTTGGATGGAACAAATCGAAAACTGAAGAATTTACCACAGGAAACCTTTAATTGTAGCCAAATATTGACTGTATACACATACATACATACATACATACATACATACATACACACATCCAAGTTATTGAAAATTTGAAATGGATAAACATATGTATATGGATTAAAAGGTCGTAAATATGGAAAGAAAGCAAACCTTATATGAAACAAGCTGCTAAATGGTTCGTAAGCAGATCCAAAAGCGGCATCACCAACGAACTGAGATTCCACTTCAGCATCACTAAATCCAGAACATTTATCGGTATCAGATGTGGTGTCAGCAAATGAGCTGGAACATTCAGTTGCATCCGGATCCTCAATTTTAACTGTTGTGGTGTCGTTATTATTTGTGCATCCTAATCCTATTATATCAACCTCGACATCCTCTGGAGCCTTATTTTGATTATGCATCTCAACCTCCATGTTATTGATGCTCTCTTTGAACTTATTCATGAACCTTGAACCGAGCTATCCAAGGGAACCGTCTTCTCCTTGTCAGCTGCAGCTTTTGCAGCACAATGTAGTTTATTACCTGGATTAACATTCATCAGTATCCGTTCAGAATCCATACAACAGTCATAGTACCAAATAGCAATGCACCAAAGACGATGGCTCCATGCTGATTAAAAACCAGTTTATATTAAATTTCAAAAACCCAAATCTTCCAAAATCTATAAGACAATGCAGAAGCCATTAAATGTATACCATCATTCATTTCATATGACCATGATATAAGAAACAGGAAATCAATGATTATGCAGATACACAAGGCAAATTGTATAAAAAGCTACCATATTTGAAGCCTAGAATCCAACTATCATAAAAAATGCATTTCTATTCTTGAATTTTGAATTTGAAACAAAATATTAGAAAGAGCTTGTTGAACAAATATTCCAAATTTTAGTAACAGATGACTAAGTTCTCCAATTTTCAGAAACCATTCCAGACATTGCAGTGTTTGTAAGCTCAATTGAATTTTGAATTAAATACAACACAAGCTTACAAAATCAGGAACAAATTTCAGCATTTGGGGACTAATTTGCCAAAAAAGAACAAAATGGAAGCATCTTATTTTCCAGAAAATGGAGGGGCAGGGGACAATAGAGCAGTAAAACAATATCTCAAAAGAAAAAAAGCTAACAAAGTTAAAATTTCAAAGAAATCTCCTCACCTTCCTAAAATTTTGAATTCAGATACCATCATGTAAGTAAAGCTCATGTCAACATGCATGCATGCGTCATGACATTCATATTCATATTCACATACATGATACATGCTCCCACATACATGTGAAGCAAGAAATGATCATGAAAGAAGAAATAGCTAAAGAAACATATTCCAAGCTATACTCAAACAACCCATTAAGCTAAAGCAAGAAACTAAACAAACGAAGTACAAACAAAACCCAGAAGGAAACAAAAACAAAAGAAGGCAAAAAAAAAACTTCCCTTCTTTTGTAAATTGTACCCATCACATGGTATGGTATATCCGTATAAAAGTATGTATAAAGAAGTACATAAGAATCTATGAGAGAGGGAATGTACCAGCGAGGTAGAGGTAGAGTTAGAGGCAGAGAGTGAGAGAGAGAGTGAAGTAAAGAAGAAAAAGAAGGCGGCGAGGAAGAGAAATGAGGAAGTTAACGTTGTAGTAAAATAAAAACCTAAAGAGGATCCACTTTTTGCTTTGTCTTATTACTGTGTATACTCTTGTAAAGTACATTCTACTTCCCGCTTTCGCTCATCATTAACTGAGACCTACATAGCAAGCTTTTATTGAAATCAGATTTATAAAAATGTTTTTTAAATAAATTATTTTTTTCCCTAAAATTTATTCAACGGTATTTTAATAATATTACAAAAATAATTTTATGGAAAATAATAAAACGCTTTTTTATATATATTTTCCAGGTCGATTTTATTGTTTTAAGACCAATGCTCGAAGTTTGTTATTTTTTTAATAATTTTTTAATCCAATATAAATCAAATAATTTCAATGAAAAAATTATTGATATTCTTTAAGGTTATGCATTCGAGCATCATAAAATATAGAGTATAAACATTTAATATTAAGTGATTGATAGTTATCATTAAACTTACCTATAAATTAGTAAAAAAAAATAATCCGAACATATATCCTTTTATCGAAATGTAACCTATCTACATCTATTATTTTTTGTATAAACTTCTTAATTTATTCTTTGTATACCACATAGTAGTTTCATTTGTACCATTGACATCTATTATTTACCAATTAATGCAATGCATGTTCCGTGGATCACTGTTAAAATATTGAAAAACATGTTAATGGAGAACTTTTCTTTATATGAATAAGTGATGCATTGTTCGGAGGTTCATTTTTTTGGTCCTATTGTATGTATATACTGTCAGGCCATCTTGATGGAGAAGGAACTGGTAGGTCAAAGCAAAGCAGAAGCCAAAAGAAGAGTAGCAAAGCTATGTTAAAGCTCGGGACGAAACCGATTCCAGGTGTTAGCCGAGTCACCGTCAAGAAGAGCAAAAATGTCAGTCCCCTTTCCATATTGTTAAACCATTCGTTACTTCCCTGCCTCTGTTACTAGGTGGTAACTGATTTTACCATTTGAATTCTGGTCTTATTAATCATTTCAAAGCCGGACGTCTTCAAGAGCCCCACGTCAGATACCTATGTTGTCTTTGGAGAAGCTCACAATTGCCGACTCAGGCCGCCGAGCAATTTAAGGCACCTGCTCTCAGCCACGTGGTATCTAAACCCGAGTCGTCTTCAGCCTTGGCTCAGGATGACGAAGAAGTTGATGAAACGGGAGTTGAGCCGAAGGACATTGAGTTGGTGATGACACAAGCGGGAGTCTAAATTTTAAAGCTTTGCATGGATATTTAATTATTTTCATCCCTGAAACCCCCTCTCAGATTTAGATCTTAAAACATGAATTTAGATTTTAAAAGTGATTCGAATATAATAATAAAGCGTCTAATTTTAGGGTAAACTACCCAAATAGCCATTGAACTATGGTGTCAATTTTATTTTGACCATTAAACTGTTAAAATGTTATCAATCAAATTGTTTAATTAAGTTCACATAACTATATTTTGTTTCTAACTATATACATGTTTTATTAATTTAATTATAATTCTGTTTTAATTAATTTAATCTACTAATCATATGATATGTTGAGAAGAGAAAAGAGGAGAGGAGAATGATGCCTAGAGCGTTGGGGAGAGGAACTCCTTAAAAAAATAAGGTTAAGAAAGATGGTTGAGTTTGAGCTGTTGGATGGGATTTTCTTTTAAGGACAGAATAATAATATGTTGATAAAATATCAGAAAGATGAATTTTTGGTTATTGATCTAAAATGTTACTCAGTTCGAATCTAAAAAATTACATATTCGATAAGAAAAACGATTTCAACCTAAAATGTTATTCTTGTTTCTTAAATGAAAAAACTCTAAACTCATGATAGCTTTTTAGATTTCAACCTAAAAAATAACTCAAACTACATGATTTATTATAAATATTGTAAATATTTTAAGTTCTAACCTAAAATGTTATTTGTTCAAAAAATTACATATTGAATAAAAAATAGTTCTTACCTAAAATATTATCCTTGTTTCTAAAATGGAAGAATATCAAACTTGTGGTAGCATTTTATGTATTCGTTAATTGATCAATTTGTTACAAAATGATAATATTAGTGATGAGTTTATTATGTTTAAAACTTTAGTGCTAAATGACGAACCATATTCATACTTCAGTGACTATTTAGGTAGTTTACTCGAAATTGAAAAGAAGTCACTGTCTTAAATCGGGCGAAGCAAAGCACTTCCCAAACTCAAATAATTCTTACAACAAAACTTCTCATCTCTTTTTCGACAGGTAAATCGCCTCTAGTCTTTGTGTTCAATTGAAAATTAGTAATTTGTTATTTTTATTTGTATACAACTTAACCTAATCTCTTAGTGTATCTATTTATTTCCATTATTTTTAGTGCTTTGTTCCTTGCATATAGAAGTCATGGGTAAATGAGCATCTCCTGGTTCAGAAAAAAAGGAATCTTTTTGTTTTGTTCTAAAGGTTTTTTTTTTATTGGTTTCATGCAGGCCATTGTTTTGTGCATAAACAAGTAAAGATGGAAAAAAATGAAGTGGGTATTTCTTGGTTCTGAATTTTGTGTAATTTTGGTTCACATTGGAGCTTTGGTTTGTGCATAAACTAGTTTAAGAGAATAAAACTGAAGTGGGTATCACTGGCTTTTGTGGGAAAAGAGAGAGAGAGAGAGAGAATTTTGGTTGAAAAAGCTTCAGTTTTTTGTTTGTAATGGAAGAAGGAGCGGGTATAAACACTGTTCTACCAAATTTAGGAGATAAATCTAAAGTTTTGAATGCAAAACCGCTGTATACTTTGGTTCCTCAGTTCCCGATAGGGTCTAACGATCCGCCTTTCGTTTGTGCTCCTCCTAATGGCCCCTTCCGTCGGGGTTTTCGCCATTTTTCCCCATTAGCATACCACAAGGATCCCATTCAATGCCTGGTCTTAACCAAAACGAGTTCTATCCTGCTGTGCCTATTCAGTCATTTAGAGCGGAACCACCGGCTTCTAATGGCCAAAATGTGCATGAACATAAGTCACCTGGGTCAAGTTCTGTTAAAAAGAAAGCGAAGAAAATGAAGGTTTTTGAGTTTGCATTCACCGCTCTTACTGATTTCAATCCTGGAATTAGTTTATCCGAGCGTGATGACATGAATAGGGAATTGGTTGAAAATGTGCTTTGGAGGTTTGATGTACTTGGGAGAAAGCTTAGCCAAATGGAAGACAGTGTCGAACCACTTTCTGGGATTATTAAACGTTCGGTGCTTAAAGCTAGCAACATAATGATGAGCAAAGAGGTGCGGACTAACGCGAGGAAGAAAACCGGAGTCGTTCCTGGTGTTGAAATTGGGGACATTTTCTTCTTCCGATTGAAGTTGTGCTTAGTGGGGTTGCATGCTCAGTGCATGCCTGGAATTGACCCCATGCCTATGAAGGGTGATTTAGAGCGAGAACGAGTGGTTGTAAGCATCGTTTCATCCGGAGGGTATGATGATGATGTCGAAGATCCCGATGTTTTGGTATATACTGGTCATGGCGGGAATGCCAATGGTGATAAAGAAGCATCCAATCAGAAGCTCGTGATGGGCAATCTTGCTTTGGAAAGGATCTTGCATCGATCCAATGAAGTAAGAGTCATTCGAGGTTTTCAGGATTCTTACAACCAAACGTCGAAGGTCTATGTATACGATGGCCTTTACAAGGTCCAGGAGTCATGGACGGAGAAGGGGAAATCGGGTTGTAATATGTTCAAGTATAAACTAGTTAGGATCCCTGGGCAAAAAAGACGCTTTTGCAACTTGGAAATTGATTCAGAAATGGAAAGGAGGTCTGTCTTCAAG